TATTTGGATATCTATATTCGAAACTTGTTCATTGCAGCAGGGCGCAGAACTAGTAAAACATACTTATTTTTTTTTTTTTTTACGCTTATTTTTTTTTTTTTTTTTTTTTTTTAGCTGCTGATACATTCCTTTCAATCTGGACTTGTTACTGCGTTCGCTACATTCGGCCGTGCCTCGGTTTTGAGCTGCTCTTTGATTTTGTGTGCCAGAATAGCGTTCTGAGCATCTTATTCTGTTCAGTGTCAGAGCCTTGTGGACTCCGTTCTCCCTTTCTATTTGTTGGTTTTCTATTCATTTTAATTAACTACGGGAGCAAAAAGGCTGTGTGGTTGTTCCTGGACGCTATAATAGAGACTGAATGGTTGAGTGATCGATTAATAATATTATTATTACTATTATCATAATCACTGCTATCATCATCAAAGCGATCTTGACTTGATCCGGTTTGCGGAATTCTAATAACATTCGAGTCGCCCTTGGTGATTTTCAGGCAATTCCCTGGTGTGGATTGGGATGGACTGGAGTCTGCAAAGAATAGGTGAAATTATTGTTGACAAAATATGAAAGTTCTTCTCATACAATATTACTGACCGCTATCCATCTTCTGTATGGCGCATTCGGTGTCCGTTGCTGCGACACAAGCGTGATGGTGCTGACAGGGCGCTCGCCGGGAAATACTTCAACACGGAGTAAATTTTACAACAAGATAGAATTCGGCAAAACACTACAGCACAGTGTGTTTTAGTTTTCCGGATTCTTGAGAATCACATACTGTGTTCGATAAGCATCCCATACCCGTAGCTTTCAAATTCTCAGTTTTCATGTCCGTTCCACTTCAAGTCGCCGAGCATAACCCCAATTGCCACCTCACAACCAATTCTCCCAATCAGTCCTAATAAAAAAAAAACTATGAGCGATAACACTAGGCAAGGTCTGCGAGGGCTGTCAAGACGATAATAAATTCCTATAATCGAAACTTTGCTGGCAGGAGGTATACTTGGTTTCTCAAAACGTGAGTCAAATCGTTACTGCGAAAAGTACGCATCGCGCAGGAAACAAAGGTAAATGTGGTATTGGTCTCTGCCCACGGGCACATTTGAGAATATTAACAACGCTCGGTGTAATTAGTTTATTAATTACTTTCGAACATTTAACTTTTTATTTCGTGAATTTGTAGGTATGATTTCAGTTAGAAACTTGCTGAGGATCATCGAAAACACTAAATCAACTTCCAGGAAGACAGAAGCCAAGTAATGCACTTTACTGCGTTCCGACAAAACGCTCAATTTGCACGCGTTTTCTTAGGTTTGTTTTCCTATCGGACCGCATCTTTGCGACAACGGTCCTGCAATACACCCCCCCCCCCCCCCCCCCCTCCGTGGCCGAGGCCCAGGCGCTCAACGCACCCTGCTCCACACTTCCTTCCCTCCTATGAGGGAGGTAAGGTGGTGGCTGCGTGCCTTTGTTACAGGGGGACCGCTGGCGAAGAGCTGCGCACCAATAGGAATCCGAATCTTAGAAACGCGTCCAAATTGAGCGTTCTTTTAGGAACACGGTCAAATGCCTGTACGTGCCTTCTATGTTTCTAATATAAGTTTATTTAGCGTTTTTTTGGTGATCCTCAGCAATTTTCTAATTGGAATCATACCTATAGGTTCACTAATTAAAAGGTTAATTAATGAACTAATTATGAAGAGCGTTAATCATTTTCCCAAATGTGCCTTTTGGCAGAGACCACTACAACATTAACCTTTTTTTGCCTGTGCGATGCATACCTTTCGCACGAACGATTTCACTCGCGTTTTGAGAAACACCATGCCTAGAAGATGTCGGTGGAGGTACATGTCCTTTCCGTTTGTTACTCTGTCAGCAACGCTTCGGAGCTCCTTTCAGATTAGATGTCTACTCATACATCGATCCCTGTGGATCGATACAGGCGACCACGTGGTCCTAACCTTACTATGAAGCCTCCTCGGAAAAATTTGCATGTTGAATGCGAGACGGAGCAACGCACAACGCGTGTTCTTGGAGACGAGAGGGAGCAAGGCGGCAGCAGGTCGTGATTACGACTGTACATGTCAAGAACCCCCCTGGAGAGACGCTTTCTGGGCTAAATGCTCGGGCCTTGCCAGGGGCCCGCGATACAGCAAGGGCGCATTGAGTAACGACGCTAATATAAGCGAACGACCGCTACCAACTCGGGATTTATGGGAGAGCGGCAGTTTCGACTCAGAGTAGGCGAGCGCGTACTTCGGCGGGTAAGCGAAACTAATAATAAAAACAAAAAAGTTCAAAGAAAACGAAAAACATTGTGTGCGCCTCATTTGCAAAAGTGCAGAACCCCACCCTTCGGTGAAGTACTCTTTCTAGCTGTGGCTTTCAAGTATGTCTTAAAAAATATTTAAAAAATGTTTTTGTTAAGCTTTTTGTTTTTTAGAGCACGCTTTAAATTATTAATTGCACATTCTGCGTTGTTTCGCATTTGCTTGAGTTCATAGAAAGATCATAGCGTTGACTTCAGAATCAAAACGAAAATGCTTCAAATCGTTATAATTAATAAGTTACATTTTTTTTTTCTTTCAATGCTAGATTTGTGTTTGCTAGGGCAAACGCAAGGCACCTAATACGGGTAGGTGACATCAGAATACCAAGAAACGGTTCCCTCGATTATCTCAATGTAGCGTCATGCCATGGTGTCTGACCGTGTCTGCACTCAGGCGTCGGTTTCAGTCTGAGTGCTCCAGTCGATTTCTCAGACTTTTAGGGACAAATCATCGAGTAGGTTGGACCTCACGCACAACAAGGCGCCTGATCGAGAGACCGCTGAACCCGAAGAGATAGCAAACTCGTCGCTCATTTCACCCGCTTCAGATTTACGGTGTTTCGACACCAAGGGGCTGGTAATATCGTAAACCAAAACATGACCCGATCCCTTAACCACGTGTCTTTTCTTTATACCTCTCATAATCATTTGTCGCAAATTTTGGCGACTCTTCGGTTCCCGACGTGACAGCGTGAGACATCACTTCATACTGATATCATCTCTCAGGTCACTCATCACTGCCGCCTGGTTCTGTTGTTCCAGTTCACTTGTTTGGAGTTAATTCCGAATTTGTAAACAGCTAGGTAGCTTCGATAATGCATTGTTCCCATGCATCGCATTTAAATGCTTATGTGTAATCCTTCCTAAAGTTGTTTTAGACCAAAACAAATATCGATATTTGGATGTCGAGCCCTTTTAAAGTGACACAGTGTCAGTGTAGTTCGCTAAAAGCAAGTCACCTATACTTGTTTTCACCTCAAGATCCATGGTAAAAAAAAACAAAAGTCCGGCTCCTCGCGGAGCATTACTAGTTTCCCACTTTATGTAGATAATTAAGTTGTATGTAGGTGAATTTTAGATTCGATGCATGTGTTATCTTATCAAGATGTACACGTTTCGAACACCAAAAGCATCGCTTCTTCTTCCGACGACCAAATTCTTTAAGAATTACTTCGCGCGGCGTACGAACAATGCGTAAGGCGTCCTTTTTTCTTGAGGTGAAAACGAGTATAAGTAATTTTAAAAAAAATAACCTTTAAAAAAAAACATTTTTCGAACGGCGGCTTACATTTCAGCTGCCATTCATCGAGATGCACCTTGCGGGCACCCTAACCTGCGTTGCAAATCACCGAAAGAGGAGAGAAAGGGTTCTGGTAGCCGAGTGCGCTAGATCCACAATAAGGCTATCGTAGGCCGGAAAACCCTGACTAATAGCCGCGAAAGGGGAAACATGGGGCGACGGGGACCTCTCTCGAAGCCCCAACAATAGACTCCAAACCCTTTCTCCACAGGAAGGGATTGTACTCCCCAAACGGGGGTGAGCGCAAATAGGGGAAAAAAAGGGGTAACTCCCGACCGGCAGGTACAAGCGAGGATCGTGGTGAGCCCAATGTGGATGGGGTTATAATGTGCTACACGGGTCTTTGGATTGCCCTAAGATAGGGCGCCCGACGCGAGCGAGCACACTATTATGGGCCTTCGATTTAACGGGGTGGCTTTCTTTGGGGGATCGAAGGCCTGCGGTGTGCTGCACGCCGCCAGCCCGCAAGGGTTTCGTGGCAGTGAATTTTCGGAAGATCCGTATCGCCTTTTGCTGCTGCTACGCACGTGCTGGGGAGGGGGTGGCAATTGAGACGTAGCTTCCTGCCTTCGATCGTGCAACGAAGAGGAATATGAAAATAAGTCCTGCTGTTCATTTTTCTTCGACCCATTAGTTGCAAGAATGATATTTACAACAGTACGCGACACCTATTTTCTTTGTTGTCTGTTTATGGTGTTGTACTATAATAAAGGCTGAGATGATTAACAGGTCACTAAATTATTGGGTAAATTCTTGTGTTCTAAAAATCACACGAACCACGACTTCGCATAATTTTATAATACTAAAAGCAACTTTCAGGGTGATTAGTATGGAGGATACGAAGGAATGTGAATACGTCCAACCTAAACTAAGAGGTCACACACAAAGTTTTTTCGGCGAAGCTTGGGCTAGTCATATCAAGCGCTGTAGTGCTCACAGCATTAAGAGTCAAATTTCTAACAAACTTTTTTTACCGTTGTAGCGGAAAAGGTTTAGATCACGTTTGTTTTCTTTGTTGTTGTTGTTGTTTTTTTGTTTGTTTGTTTTTTTAAGACAGATGTGCTAAAGGAAAATGTTAATTTCTTATGTAAAAACGCCAGGTCGATGAAGTCGCTAATCTTAAGATTGCATTGACGCAGTACGTTGGAAATTTAAGAATCAATCCGTGTTTTTAGACAAAGAAGCTTCTGAAGCTGTAACGCCCGAGAAAGCGAAAGGGCTGTTCAGTGAGAATGGAACATCGTAGTGTCCCGACCATTTCAACAAGCTAGCTGTTGTTCGGTGCCGCAGTTGGTTTGTCAGTGGAGAGTCATCAGAACTCATTTCTGTTAGCTTGAGATGCGACCGACATTGATTGTCATTAATTTCTTTTCACAGTGGTACCACGTGGACCTGAGCCGCATCGAGAACGAGGATGTGCGGTCCCGGTTCGTGCAGTGCGAGCTGGACGGCGACACGCAAGCTTTCCTCGATAGGAGCACCGAAAAGTCTGGCTGGCTTGGCACACAAATTTTACACGCCGTGGTCAGACTGTTTCTCGGCTGGTTCATCACCAAGACCTCGCTTAATGGGTAAGTACGTTCTTGCTATCCCCTTTCTAGCATCACTCCTGAAAGTATCTTGAAGCTTCTTTGTCTTTAATTTTGCTATGGACCGATGGTGGCCCCGAATAATGTTATGTCACTTATAGAAAGGTTGGCTCAGCGCGATAGCAGCCGGAGAAGCAGCGAACTATATAGAGCGCAGCACGCGGCACTGTGTTTTCTGACTGACGCCTAAGATCGATATTTGTCTGATCAATGCCATTTAGTTTGTTTCTACCGGTCTCGCCTCCGGCGAGTCTGGATGTGTGCATCGCCGCGCTTGACATTCGCGCTACTCAAGCTGCTGACACCACCAGTTTATGCATGACAGTGTGCTCTGTCGGTACACCGGCTCTCATTGGCGGAAATCAGAAGGGATCTCATCTCAGTTACGCGGCGGACCTTTCATTCAAGATCCCGCACGAGTAGTACAATCCGTTAAGTAGTCAGTATAATAAATTTGCTTGTATTCAATTAAATTTTCCGGGCTAACTATGCAGTAAACGACCTTCTGAAGAGTTTACCACGTGTCTATACTTTCGCGCGAAGACAGCTAAAAGATCCGTGTACGAGGTAGAGTCCTCTTCAATTTGGCCAAAGAACACAATCTTGGTCAGCATTTGCCCGACCATTTCTTGACGATTAATAGGAGACTGTATCGACCGCTGCATAAGATTGAGAAATGCACCGCGCCGCTTCGTACGTTCGCAAACGCGGCGGATGATGAGACGGCAAAGCCCTGTTTTCGCACACCCGACTTTGCGCCCGCTGCAAGGGTGGTAACTTGAGCGCATCACCGCGCTTTCCACGCGCTCCTAATCTTTGCTCAAATTTGCTTATTAATACACCTGTTACACGGGCACACTTAACCGCGGTTAACTCAGCTTAACTGCTGTTACGCGGCACCACCAAGTGAAGAGCGCGTGCGCACTGCTTTGACGGGTGCTCAAGATGCTCAAGCGCACGTTCGCCCGTAGCTTTGACTGCATAGCCGCAGAATGTTGTCGGCAAAGTTGTGCCCTAACTGTGGCTTTGCGTAACTGCAGTTAAGTGTGCCCGTGTATTAGTGGTTTTCAATGACGCTCATCAAGTTTCCAATTAAAACAGCATGTTTGTTTTTAGTAAATGAAAGAGTAATTAACAAATATTCATCAATTATTTTCTTTTAGTGACAATTGGCCCCCTTAAGAAGCCTCCAAAAATTATTGTTTAATTTTTTTTTTTTATAACAGTCGGGTTGGGACACGCGTGTCGGGAAATAAATTTTACGCGAACGTCAGCAGCGAGAACTCACCCGCTCGCGACCACGTGACCACGTGCTGGCGCCGCGCGATCATCATGGCGAAAAGAAGGAAGTGCCAACGTGCTCGTCTCTGCTCGTCCGGGTCCGGCCGTCCCCGTCCGTTGTCTGGCGGCTCCTCGCGGTAACAAATAGAGCTGACGGTTTTGTTGACCTCGAATCGATGGCGCCTCTGAAACTCCGTATTATAAGAGTTTTGTCGATGATACCATGTTTCTGACGGATTTATATTTATGTTGGAACGACAAGATTTATAGAAAAATTGCCTTTTATCGAGCAAAGTGTTGCACAAAGTGTTGCACAACGTGCAATTTGTTTTTTGCGCGTTTTTATTTGACGTCACGCCAGGTTGTTCGCATGGCCGCCGCTCGCAGCTGCAGATAGGAAAATATTATAATTTTTGCCTCGCGATTACGCGGCGAAATCGCAGCATTTCGAAGGAAGGAGATGTGTTTTCTCTTCTTTGTAAAAAGATACACAGTGTCAAAAGTAGAAGATGCAAATGCTTTCGACGTCACAATCGTTGCGCAGCTCGTTTATTTATGTCCTCCTGAACTTGACACGATAGATGCGATCAGGCTGTGAATTATTTGGAAGTGTGGCTATGTTAACAGTAATCCTGGTACTGAGAGTTGGTAGGTCTGCTTTTTTTAATTAAGCAAGTTTGCAGCTGGAGCCAAACTATTATGTTCCTCAAGAAAATTAATCTTATCGATAATATAGTAAGGGTGCAGGCGAGCTGGTGATTGTTAACCATGTTGAATAACCTGAGACTGGGGCAGAAGTGAACAAATAAGTCGAAGGAACAGAAAAGGACAGGAATCGTGCTGTCCTTTTCTGTTCCTTCGACTTATATGTTCACTTCTGCCCCAGTCTCAGGTTATTCAACATGGTTAATCTTAGCTCTTTTCTATGTACGTTTTCCAGTGTATTGATGTTCGTTTTTGTGTACGCGTCTGAAATTACACTGCTTATTTTACGTCAGGAAGCACAAAGCGTGTCGTATACGCTAACAGTTTAGTATCAGGAACTGCTTGTGGTACATTCCCCTTAGCAGTCATTGTTTTTTTTAATGGATTTATCTATAACATCACTAATACGTTTACCCTCTTTTATATGTTTTGTTACATTTAGATCTAAATAAGTATATTCGGCAACCCGAAGCAGTCTGGCTGCCTGTGGCGTGCAGAAAGAGACGGTTGCTATTTATGAGTGATATACATAATTACTATTTTATCTTGGCTAAGTAAAATTGGCCAGTCTTATGTATACGGATATTTCCTGAAGGCTATTTTTTAAAAAAGGTGATTAGTGGGACGTTTGATTTAATAATGCGAAATCCCATCGTCGACAGACACATTCACATGGATGTTAACAGCTATATCAATGATAAATATCAAGAAAAGCTTTAGCACCCCGGATTCTACATTTGGTATGCGATGTCCACTTTGGTTAAACAAGTGTTATGAACTTGAAACTGAAGTAGAGCGAATTGATGCAGGTAAACAGATCGTCTCTTTTCCTTTTCTAAACGTAGTGTTTTAATTACTCTGCACATACACAGGCCGACCTGAATCTGCCATTTTATCTATCACAGACCGTCTTCTGAAGTTTGCCACAAACCGGCGTGAAAATTGCTTCATAGTGAGGATGCGATCCTTCAGGTTTTTACTGCTTCGTCGGCCTCAGTTGTCGTGTCCCCATTAGCGCTTGGCCTACCAAGAATCGGGGCTGGTTTGATGTTCACCAGAGCGGGGTAATCTGGGGCCGGGGCCTTAGCTCAGATGACCCCATAGAACTCAACGACCGGAGCTCCGAGGGCTTCTCGAGAAGTGTAGGCTAAGGCTTCTGACGCGATTAAAAAGAAAACAATAAAGGCAAGTTGGCGTTGTTAAGAACGTTCGCCTTCGATCCCGCTGGAAAAAAAAAAAAACTCACCTGAGGAACGCGAAGGAACGTTACAGATTTTCTAGAGAGGACACCAAAGACATACAGAATCCGCCATCCTTTGTCATTTAAGAGATGTTGGTATCGGGGAAACACTACAAACGAACAAATGTGACGAAAGTCTGTTCGCGTATTGCTTTGCCCACTTGGGGTTTGTCGCTCCTTTTTTTTTTCTATTTCACGATTGTTGTTGTTTTTGTTGTTTTTTACATTGTAGTAGATTTTATTCTATGGCCCCGAGAATAGCCAGCGGGCTAAAAGCATTAAAACATTTATTTAAAACTCCCCGCGCTGTCTGCAATTGCGGAACGCACCTTGAAAAGTGGAACATTGATGACATAATGCTTCATTCATTACTGAATCCCAAAGCACAAAACGTAAGATAATCATCCAGGCGTAATGTGATTTTGAGTGTTTTTTTTTTGTTGTTGTTGTTGTTTTTTTTATTTACACTGTGCTGCGCACTGCTGGCGTCGCCTCTACTCTTGTTCGTTGTTAAAAAAACAAAATAACAATGTTTTTTGGTTTTTTTTTTTTACAATGTTTCTTATTATACTCCGTCATCTCACCCGCCTTTGCTTTTTCTCTTTTGAAAAATGCAAATAAATGACTTTTATGCCGACCATGCCCATTTTCGAAAGGAACGTTTCAACGTACTACTATAGACTATCGAAGTTTCCGTGGGAATTTCACCACAGCCATACTTAGAAAATGTAATTTGTTGGCGGGCCTTTCTGTGTCGAGATTTGTGTTTGTGTGTGTGTGTGTGTGTTTTGACTTTTATATCTTTTTTATGTATCCTATATTTTTATTGTGTCATGGCGGAAGTGGGGTCGTATCAAAACTGGTGCCACAGGTTGTCTACCTCTTGCACCGCGCCAAATTTCATTGTCAAGTTCAAGGCCTCGAAATGCACGCTGTCTTTCCTATTCTTTTTTTTTTTTTTTTCTTTTCCCCATCGATTTGATTTTTTTTTTTTTTGGGGGGGGGGGGGGGCACAAAGGGGGTCTTACTTTCCTTTAAACCTACAATTTTATTGGCGTTTGGAACTCGTCTCATGCAGTTGTTTTTCGTTTTTTGTTTTCTTGTTTCTGTCTCCTCCTCCTCGGCGGCTCCTTTCCCTGTTCGGAAGCGTTTTGAAAGGCGGAAGAAAGGAATGTTCCAAAGCGGGGTGCCACCACCGGCATCACCAACGATTATAACACACACTCACAAGCACACGCACACACAAACACACGCACGCACGCACGCACACACAGACGCATACACACACACACACACACACATGCACTCAAAAGAAGGAGATGTAACAACTCAAAACAACAAGCGCTGGAGTAACGAAAAAAAAAAAGGTACAAAGAAAAAATATCGGAACCTGCTCCCCTGGATTTCTCTTTTCCAACAATGCCAGCCCAACGTGCGTCTGACGGAGACTGCACCTTCTCAGGTGGCGCTGTTGCTGGCTTGACAGAGTGGTTGCCGGGTTGCCGTTTGTTCCGCTTCCCCGTCTTGAGCGGCGGCTGCCGAGGGGAGACACACCGAGACGGAACAACTGCCAACGCCGACGGCAGCGCCTTCCGCCGATGTGCGCTCACAATGTCGACAGTGTGTTATTAGGAGCGCCGTTCTCTGGGAGTGTGTCAGTGATCGAATCCAATCATATTACGAAATCGGTAGAAATGGTTTTAGGATGTTCTCGGTTTGTGAGGTTTGTCACAGGCTTGCACGCTGCGACGGGAGT